GGGGGGGGATGTCAGTTGATTGTTCTTGTATTCTGGGTGCATGCGTATAATTTATTTCCCTTCCAGGAATATCTAGGAATGGGCATCAATAGGTGATAAGGACTTATGGGGTTTCTTTCATGATCTAATGATTTGTTTAATTTTCATGGTCCAACCTGCCCCCTCCCCCTGCGAACAACTCACAATGGTGTCTGCATTTTAGAATGTCACACTAATGAATTGGCTAGTTATGGTAAGAAGGAAAAACAACTGATTGGATCGTCCTTGGTAAAATGCTTGGACGGTTCTGATTTGTACCCTTTTGTACCCTTGAATAAGAAGTTGGGTGAGGTCAAGGACATTTGCCTGTACAGGTTAGCCTACCCAAATGTTTCCATTCATTATGTAGGTTAAGTTTATCTAAGCCATAACTGATGAACAGTTTATTCACTCTTAACCTGAAACATATCATATATAAGGGTTGGAAGTGAAAAACTTAGAGTGTTAAAGGAATCCATTTGTGTTGTCATCTCATTTCTGAAATGAGTTTTTTTCTTGATAATCTGCTCATCTTTAGTTCTGCAAAGTAGATTTTTTGATATCATGATTCTTTTTTAGTTATAACCTTTTTTTTTTCGAAAATGAGTTTTAACCAATTAATTTATGCTTAGATATGTCTGCTCATATATTTACTAGCAGGTTACTTCATAGATTTAGGCTTTATCCTAAGTTGATTCTTATGCATTCTAAAATGAAGCTTGGTTCTATCTCAAGAGCTTTTTATTTTTTCAACATCTCAATATCCAATGTGGTAGTGTCCAATGACATTTTTTGCAATCTCATCATAGTTCTTTAGACCATTCTCTTCTCTTTAATTTATTTTCAAATAGTTGTATTCCCACTTATTCTGAAAATTGAATGCACATGGGCTTAAGAATGGCTTTACAAGTGATTTGTATTTTGATTTTTTAATATTTATCCATCACTCTAATACTAGGTTTATGAATCTTTTAATTTAAATTTAGGCCTTAATTGCTCTAAAGCTCCTTGATAATTCCATCTTAATGTAAAATATCAAGGTATATTTCTATTGTTCATTTCAATTTCCTTTGCATTTGAATGTCATTTTATTCTAATGGTTAGCTTTCTTTTTTCCAGGTGCAAGGAGTTAGGCAGATCAAAGAATTTTTGTTAGTGAAGAGATCTTTGTCAAGAACAAATGGGACTATTATATCTTGGAGCTTGGTTCACAAAGAATTTTTTGGATTGGGACATAACTCGGTTTTGGTTTTTGAAAATTTGTATACAAATAGGTTATACTTGTATATCCCTTTGTACACGGGCTTTTGAATCATATTAATGAATATACCATACCTTCTGACAAAAAGGTAAGGCAAGCCAAAGCCTGAGCCAATATTACATGGATTTAATGGAACACCTCCTCTTTATTTTGTCACCACTATTTTAAAACCTATTGCTTCTATACTAGCAATTTAGCATTATGGTAATATTAATCATGTATATTTGATTTGTTATATTTAATATGAGTTGGTTGTCTACTTGGTTTTCAGGGAGGAAAGGCTGAGCTTTTGGTCTGATCCTGATACTGAATTAAATCTGGGTAGAGACACTGGTATTAGTGTTTTTTCGAATGGGAATAAATTGGACTAGGATCATGTTTGATGTGCCAATAAATGGTCTCAAAGAAACTGTAAGTTTGTTTTTTACTTTGCTTTATTAAATGCTTGGTATGTGCCATTTATGGAATTTGGGTTCTAGAAAAATGATGATATTGTACTTTCACATGGATTACCCCCCAGTCAATTATATTTGGTTTGAAAGAAAATAATAAAGAAATAGAAAGGCGAGTGTTGGAAGCTAGCTAAACAGATGGGGTACAGGCACATTGAAGTTGAAGGGGACTCAAAAGTAGTCATTTCCTGGGTTACAAACAGCAGCCATACCCAATGGACGTTTAAACATGTGATTAGGGAAGTGGAAAAGATTGCAAAGGAGGTAGAGGCTTAAGTCAAATGGGCTCAAAGGAGTGCAAACGGGTTAGCTGATTATGTAGCAAAACAAGGGGCATTGAGACAGCAACTGTTTTGGGCTGCACTGTAATGAGGGACAGAAAAGAGGGTTCAAATGGGATCATCACTCCCATCACTAAGTTGTATAAACTTTTTCTAATCTGAGAGTTAAATAAAATTCATGCTCACTGAGAAAAAAAAATAGAGAGAGAGAAAGAGATTTACATGTGTTCATTCGAAACCAAATGTACTATGTATTCTATCCTCTTTGTCAATAAAATAAGACTTTTATTTATGAGGCATTTTGTTTACAATTATGGTCAGTTCTGTAGGACATTTAGTTCCTTATAAGGGTGAGTTTGGGCAACTCACTTGTAATGTGGGTGTGTACTAGGATACACATTGATGTAATCCAATTGAGTTGATTCAAGGAAGAATGTATTGTCACTTAAGTTACACAAATCATTTAGATGCAAAGTCCTTTTTTTTTTTTTGTCCTTGGACAGGAGTTCCAGGGCTTTAAGATTATGACCAGTCGCTAATATATCATAAGAACAAATGTTGAAGATCTGTAGCTATCAGACTCCATACATTCGATGGTTGTGATTTTATGGTTCTGGAATGTCCAATAAGGGATCTGCACCCTCAAATAAGAAGAGAGTGTCACTACTAAGAGGTTGAGTTGAATCAGGGCCTTAACTATGAATCCTAGTTGGACTAGGACTCTTAGCAGAGGATTCTCAATGATGTTAGGGCTCCTATATAAGTCTCAAGGTAACATCGTGATGAGTATGGGAAAATCCTAATTGAATTGGGACTCCTAAGGAGGAATCCTAGTTGCACTAGGACTTTGGTATTCTGCCTCCAGAGGAGCTTGGAGCAAATATGAGAATAGTCCTTGTGGTATTAAAACTCTCAGGAAGGACTTCCTAGGGCTTGTCCTGTATTGTCCTGATTGAACTAGGAACCCCTAATATGCCCAAGTGATCATATGCTAGCAATTGCCTTGAAAGAGTTTCAAAGCAAAAAACTGAGTTTCAGGTGATTTCCCTGTTGGAATAGGACTCCTTGTTAAATATCTTTAATGGTGATCGGTCCATACAGTGACTTTACACATGGTATCCCAATTAGATTTGGACACTAGTGTAAAGGGACAGAAATGTAATTTCACTTTGCATGAAGTGACCAATGTGATAATTTTCAAGAATTAATTGAAATGTGTTGTTGGACTTTTTTGCAGTTTTAAGAAGTCTTTCTAATCCTGACCACATACTAGAGTGGGTGGAAATTTTCAATCCAAGAACAAAGAAATAAGGCTTCTCCTAGGAAACCATAAATCCTTGAGGATGGAAACCCTAATAGAATCTCACACCCCCCTTGAGCTCTGCTTCTCACAATATATAAAATATTAGAGAGCTCATAAAAGTGCAGTTTGTCCAGCCCTATAGGAGAGTACGATCTACACTTTCTAGTGCCCAACAAATCTAGAAGTGAGTGCTGAAAAGCTGCAAAGTAAGGGAGCAATGAGACTTCCATTAGAGAAATCAATTAGGCTACTTGGATCAATAAGTTTATTTCATCAAAGAATTTTGATTTGGACATTTGATTGAAACTTCTACATGTATGCAATAAAAGAAAATTTTATTTCTTTGCAGAACAAGAGGTTAACAGGGAATGCCTCTATTGGGCTGCTTCGTAATCTTATTTCTTCTCTGTTTTGTTTTGAATTCTTGTTGCCATATTCACTCTAAAGGTAGGGTCGCAACTTGTGCCTCTCCCTAGGTTGTCTGGTATCAGTTTCTTTCTAGTGTTAATAAATTCCTTTTTCAATTATCAAGAAAATGGGTCTGGGCTAGGTGAGGTTTTGCATGGTTCAGTGTCATAAGCCAGGGAGACAATAATTAACTTTGTGCAAAACTTGAAATTATGTCCTTTCACACTTGGGAAATACTCATGTACTATCGCCAGGTACTTCCATGGAGATCTTGGTTTTATAGTGAAATCAATTGGTTTACTTTTCTTCAATTTCATTTTCAGAGAGAGAGTTTGCAGAATTTGTACAAAGGTAATCCAATTGGACTGTTGACAATAGAATGGAGACTAATTATTTCTTGATGTCTTTCTCTTGACATTGCTAGGAAAGAAGATTGTGGTAATTGCTACCCAAGTGAAGAAAATATGGTATGGTATCAAGGAAGCATGGCAAAGTAGGTGTCCATTTTGGCTATCAAGAATAAAAAGGGGATTAAGTAGTTTCTTCATGTCTTTTTCTTAACAAGGAGGGAGGCAAAGGAATTGTTCTGTGGTGCTTAAAGAAGTTAATATCCAAATAATAGCTGAAGCTAAGCTAAAATAATGCTCTCCAAAGTCATTGCTAGGCAAGAGGATAACTTGGTAAAGGTCTTTGCAATCCATAAAGGAGTCACTTGATCTAAGTTGAAATAATGACTGGGTTGATCTGTAAATCAGTTTCTGTAATAGCAATTAAAAATCTTAGATCTAAAGACATGAGTGCCGAGGTTCCAAAGCTCATTTGATCATCTTCAGATGATTATCAGTTAGCTAATTCACTTTTATAAGTTTTAACATCTTTCTGATTGTATGTGGGTGTGATGCCTTGTCACCTCTTAGGATGTAATTTTTTCTTCTTTTAATGAAATTTCATTTTTACCTTCAAAAAACAACTGGAAAAAGGTTGAAATTTACAATGACCTATTCAAAAGTGGGTCCACATTCTACCTAACAAAATTGAGAAAAACTTAAATGCAATAATGAAGAAACCTATTTAATCATTCTTCGATATGGCTCTCATGCTCATGTCTGCAAGCTACTTTAAAAAGACAAGTGTAAATCATCAAGGAGATGCAGGGTAAATTGATAGATTCAACCATCAAGGAGCAGGAAGGATTGATGTTTTGTGAGTAGAGGCACCGATGCTTCTCAATTTCAAAAGTTTACTATGCATCTGGGCCTGGTAATTCATTTGCTCAAGAAGTTGCAAGTCATCAACTGAGTTCTCTCTCATTTTATTGTTTGTTATAAAGCACATTTTGCAACTTTTCCCCCAAGACCTTGGGCTTAAACAATAAGGAGGAAGCTCAACCATCTTTTCTACTCCTTGCATAAAAAAGGCATAACAGAACTTTGTGGAGAGCAAGGTAGTTAAAAGAATCAATTAAAATGCCAAACTTGAGATCTTCATCTTATTGGTGGCAGAAATATAATAACATCTAGTCAAATGCTGGAATGGTTGCAAAACAAGATATCTGCTTAAACTACTACTTTCCAAGTTTTAGATCCCTCCAAAAAAACACTGTGACAGATCCACCTACCTCTATAACTACTACTTTCCAATCCTACTGACCACCAGATCCACCTAGGGTCCTGTTTGCTTCTTTTCATTTGCTAATCATGCCTTTTTTTCGGATTTTAGAAATTGCTGCTAGCATGGTTTCTCCTAAAATGCTTTTTCTATCTTGTCTCTTGAAGAATACACAAGGATTAGACTAGCTGAACGTGATGGCTGTTCAGCGGGCTGTGGAACCAATGATAAGCAATCATGTAAAATAAGAAAAAGACTATCCTTAACTATTCATTAAATTTTCAAAGCATGCCCCTGTAATGGGCAGTAGCTACTGTACCACCCCACCTTGATTTCACCCCCAACAACATCAACACCATCATAAAAGTTACCTACCTGCTCCAAGACAACTTGGTTTTTGCCTGGAAATCTAGAACATCGTCAAGCCCTCTACTTGCTCCAAGACAACTACCCAGAATTTCTCCCCAAGCAGGTCATCGCCTTTATTGTTTTAGTTGATGGTCTCATTAAAATTCAGTTGAATTTTGAGAGTAAACACGGAAATCTTATGGTTTAAGCACAGCTGCAGAGACAGAAGTGGAAGAGAGTGAAAACGAACCTTTATTTTTTCTTATTAATTTTGTATAGCTCTCGTTGCATCAGAACTTTATTATTCGTTGTTCTATGGTTTAATACCCGGTTTGTTATTGCTTTAATTTGTCGATCCTTTTCTATAGATTTTGTGAACTTTAATCTTGTTTCACAGCCTGAAAGAATCATTATAATTAAAATCCAGCTATTATCATTTTCAGAGCTTATTTGTTGACATTAATTTGTCTTCCTACTCCCACTAACTCTCTCTATACTTGGGTTAGCGAGCTCTGAAATGAACCCACTTCACTGTGAGAAGTTTTTGTTCCGTCCACTTCCAACTTTCAACTATTGTAGCTACGAGGATAGTTGATTTGTTAGGCAGCAACTATGACCATTTTCAGAGAAAACTAGGTACCAGTAATAAATAAGGATGTTGGTATTTTCAGTTGGGTGGTGTTTCAAGGTAGAAGATACTGTTTCATATGTAGGGTGGGTGTAGAGAGGGGGGGTGGGGCTTTGAGGCTGTGAGATATCTTACTTCAGTTGAGAAGTTTGAAGAAGATAATTAAAGGAGTTGTTAAATGGAAGGCTGAATTTGGGATTAAAAAAAAAATTGACAATAGCTATAAACGGCACTAAGCATTTCATTACCCGAAGGCCAATACATGTTATGTGGGAGCATCTTAAAAGGAGTTCAGATTGGCGCCTTGCCTTACACAGCGCGCCCCACATGCACATCTCAACGTGCATTGAGAATATTTCACTTATTTGTCATAGGGAGATGTTCACAATATACATTGGGAATTGGGATATGCTGTGGGGAATGCCAGGGGAATTGGGCTTTGGTCAGTGCAAAGCCTGTTAGAATAGTCTTTACAGCCATGCGTTAGAAATATTTTTGTATTTATGTGCTTTATTTCATAGGGAAACAGTCTTAATATAAGTTGCATGAGGCTGTTTGAACATTGTGAGCACGGGCTTGCACTGACCGAAGCCAAACTAGTGCTGGGGTGCTGATGCGAATTCTCTTAAAAAAGTATATTAAGTAGTTTCTTAAACTACTTATAACTTTATAAGTAATTTCCTCAAACCTCTTGGATTAAATAAATAATTGTCCCTTGTTTTATTTATTTATTATTCATTTTGATCATAAAATCTCCCAAAGTTACAATGGTCAACGTATAAGTTCCATTTGCTGCTTGATTCATCTTACGGGAAAGTATCAGTACTTTGGTCTTTGATGCAAAGTTCTAAGCCATACCAGGTCCAAATTTGGACCCACCTAGATGCAAAGAGTAGGGTCCACCAATCCATATCTGGCGGGGCCCACATCCAATTGAACCGAGTAGGAATGTCAATGGAGAGGGATCATATTCCCTATCCCTGACCTGATCCCATTGGGGATAAAAATGACCCTCAGATGAATTCCCATCAAGGACATAAATCTCTGAAATTTTTAAATTAAAATTATTTTTAAAAATAGATTTACTTAAAAGAAGGAAAGTTTTTAAAATAATAAAAACATTTTAAATATAATTTATATATTTAATATATAACAGGGGTAGAGCCAGGGTGGGGAATTCACTCTCCATTTCTGTTCCCGTGCCAAGTCAGGTATTATTGTGCAAAATCCAGAAATACAGATTCAAATGACACCCCAAAATGAAAGAAAAACAAAGATAAGGAGAAGCAAGCAAAGAGGATGCACAAATTTATGTGGTTCAACTTTTAGTCTACGTCTACCGGCAAAGAAGGAATATCAATCCACTATGTAATTTATAATGGAGAGGAATATAGAGTTTTGTACTCACAACCTCACTCACAAAAAACCCTAAATACACAAGGTCTCACTCCACTCTTACAAGATAAAGATTAAGTATACAAGAGAAAAAACCCCCAAAATACATAACTCTTTGTATTTGATTCGTACCCATAAGCTGAATATGAATCGGGTCCATACCATCGGGTTTTCTCAACTTACTTTGGACCGGGTTCATAAAGCCAGTCGCAACAAAAAAAAATAAAAAATCAAGGCACAACCATAACAGGTATCACTACCAATCCCTCCATCCCGAGTCCCACCCCATCCTTGCTAGGGCAATCTCCATCCCTAACCCCATCGGGTTGGGGAAGCCAGCACCCAATGAGGATGGAGAAAATTACCATTGAACTGAGTTTGACAATAAATTTAGTTCAATACCTAAAGGATCTGTTTGTGAAATCCATATTTGACTTCCATTTGATTAAAATATTCAGATATCTGATTTCAATCCAAACCTCAATGAGCCTAACAAAAGACATAGGTACAAGAGACTGGTTTGTGTAAATGGCACTATGGCAGTCAGTTGCACCCAGGAACGAGGAAAACTGTGTGAGAGGAGAAAGAACAAGGGAAAAAGAGGGGAGGTCGGCCAGATTGCTTTTATACAAAATGCTCAAATGGATATCTAACCAAGCTCATGGAATCAAATATGCAAAATACTCAAATGGATTTGACTGAAACATCTCCATATACTCAAGACTGGTGTGAACTTATTCCTGACAAACTGAAGGCTTCTGGTATCGTCCAAATGGGATATTCTCCTGTGCTTACTGATGTTCTTAATGATATCAGATTGCCTACAAGTGCATATGAGATTGGTTCGAGGAGAATGTGGGCAGGGCTGCCGATGTATGCTTTACAGTTGGCTTTTTCTAACTACCCAGAACTCCTTGAAGTTCTTGTAGACCAGAAGAAGGTCTCACTAGAGTTCTTGGATGTTCCTAGTTTGCCCCAGTTGCCACCATTTTTCTTGAGGAAGCCTTCAAGCCAAAGCATAAGTGGTCATTCAAATTGCAATCTGACGATGATCTTGTAGGTCCCGTGCTTCCTCTGCCTATGCTTCTTTAACTTTGCGAGATTGATAAGAGACAGAGAAGTTCAGATTTGGATGAAGGGGATTCATTTTCAACTGAGACAGAATTGAATCACCAATGCAATGAGGTCATCAAAGTGGTTAATGAGATGACATTGCCAGGATCCTGCTCTGAGTTTAATGATTCCTATGTTGTCTCCCCTGCTGATCATAGAGATGAGAGGTGGAGTAGTTCAGAAGAGCAGCAAGATCCAAAGCCTTTCTTTACATACAAGCCTCCAGCCTTTTTCAGATAAGAGACCTACCATTAAGTCCACACAAGATGAGACTATTTCTGAGGACAAGAGGTCTGAAACCTTTGTTTGTAAAAAGCCTGAGAGAGAACTTGATCCTAATCCACTTAAAAATTCCAAAATGCATCAGGAACTTTCTCCAAATTCTAATAAGGATTGGTTGGATTAGAATATTTTGATGAATTGTGCCCTGTAAAGTTGCAATTTGATCCTTCTCCATTGAGCTTTGGACCCAAGGAGTTGAAAGGCTATAGGTTCTTGAAAGGCAGTTTGCAAAATGGCAGGAAGGTTCTAAGTCATATCAAGATTTTTTTACTCCGTCCGAAATCAGAAAACAAGTACCATGATTTCTATAAGTTCTTCAAATCTTTGCATAACCATAGAATTGCATCAAATTTGTTCCTCATGTTGCTCTGATCTTGCCTCAACATCTCATTTTATTGATGGTTTGCCTGCGGTCATTTAGTTCTAGGCTTTGTTTAATTGTAGTTTAGTTATGCGTAGTAAGTAGTCTAGTAGTTTCTCTTAGTTGGATTGGCTCTCTCTCTCTCTCTCTATATATATATAACATAGCAGTTGGGAAACAATAGCACAATAATTATGTAACCTTGACAGTAGTAGGGAGATTTTTTAGTAGTTATGTAGGGAGAAGCTGGATTCTGTAATTTGGACCTATGGGGATAAAATAAAAAAGTTCAAATGGCTAACTAATAGCATGACTTTGAGGGTACAATGGGTTCTAGTGAAGCAAGAGGTAAATAGGGATCATTTGTACTGGCCCAGTTGCAATTTGGTCATTGGTATTCTTAAGTTATGTGAGAGGTTGCATCTTTCTCCTCTCTTTGGGATGCTTATACTGCTTGTATATATTGATATTTTCTAATGTAAGTCAAAGTTATTTATCAAAAAACAAAAAAAAATATAAACGGAAAGATCTCTTACATAATATTATAGCTTAAGATCTCAACTTGGATCTTGATGTCTGATTCTTGATTTTCTTTTGAAGTTAGAAATAGCAGCGGTGCCGTGTCTTCTTGATTATTCATTCATATCTCGTAGTCATATTGCCAAATTTGATTATTTGCAAGATGACTAGATCATTGACTTGACCTTTTGCCTAGTAGATTTTATCTGGGTCATAGTCGATGAAAGTATTTTACATCTGATGAAGGTTTGCTTGAAGCAAAAATTTACCGATGCAAGGCTATAAAGGCTGCTCGAACAGTGTTCAAACAGACTTTGCTCTGACCGAAGCCGATCTCCTTGGCAACCACGTACCATGCCTTAGTTTTTTCAACATTTTGATGTTCAGTCTCCGTGGCAGCTCTGAATGATTGTCACGTGGACAACCATTAACTCAGAATTAATTTTGTCTAACAAGATTTATTTCACTGTTTGTTGCTTGGTACACATTTTTGGGCATTTCCCCTCACTCTATTGTTTGGTTTCTTCTTATACTTTGCGGGATCTGTGAGCTGAAGTGGAACAATGGTGTTCTTGTTGATTGTACAGGAAGATAAAAGTTGCTGTGGTTTTATATATATATTGTGTGTGTGTACATGATACACTGAACCTGTTGCTTTGCTACAAATTCGAGTCTGTCAAACCTCTATCACGGGACGGGAGGGACAAATTACCAAATATCAATATACCATTGCAAAGAGTAGTTTTCAACAACCCAGAACACATCTCAATGCATTCTTATAATCTTACGTCTGATTACACACTAAACCTGTTGTATCTGGCTCTTTTTTCTGGGGAAAATTTATACAAACTAGAAACCCTGATTAAACAATTTTTGGCAGCAACAGATTGCCTTGCTGGAAATATTCCATGTCATCCATTCCAAAATCTGGTTAATGGTCTCATTCATAGAGCACTTGCTTAGCATTGTCACTGTGGCGGCGTGGTGCTATTGCGCCTATACACGTTTTGGTGGCACATATTGCACGCGCTCTTCTTCACATATGGCCTGCAGAATGATACCAGAAAAATGTAAGAACTAAATGCCTCAAGGATGTTTTAATTAATTTCAAGATAGGTTATTACCAGGCCCTTTTTGAATTATCATTGGGGAATGCGAAGAAATTATAACTTAATATGATAGAATTTTACCTTTCAAAAAAATAATGATAAATTTTAAACAGCCTACCATTTTCTGTCTTCCCAATTTTCCATCCTGTTTTCTCTACCTCTTAACCTTAATCCTATTTCATATTTTATTTTTATGGATATGTGAATCGCCCAAAACCAGAAAATGGAAGAGTCCTGAACGTCCATAAATTCTATCTGAATTAAATTATGAAACATCTCAGCTCAACAGTCAACATCACCATCCACTTGTACACACGTGGAGTTGATGGAAGGCCTGGAATTTTGATGACATTGTATATCCCCTAAGCCAAAACTAAGAAACTACTCGATGTGATAACCACAATCCAATGAATAGTCGATTTTTTACAATCAGATTTTAACCAATACGGCCCAGCTTGTTGCCAGTCAATTCAATTCTTAGGCAATCATTCAAAGAAAACAAGCAGTAGGCCTCCTTGATCCATATGTCAGGCTATCTCCATGGCAGTTATATAAACCATAGAGAATTATATATATAATGAATATATAAGTTTTTGATGAATTATAATGAATATATAAGTTGTGATGAAATTATTATACATAGTAACAAATGGTGAGATGTGGTGGAAATTTCTGGTCTTGATGTTTGGGGACTCGATGGGAAGTCAAAAGTAATATTTCCATCACCCTCTGCAACTCATAAACCAACAATATAGCCTCATCCAGTAGTGAAGTGGGTCTGGCATTTCAGAAACAACAAGAACCTCAACTGATCTACACATAGTAGAATACCCAGAAAAATCAAGGGTCAGGGTCAAGAAAACCAGTGGTTATAAGCATGGTTTTCAAAACCAGATCGGACTGGATGGTCAGACCGGAAAAGCCAGGAACTGGTCAGGTGACCGGTTCCATTTTTCCCCAAAACCGGATTTTTGCAGAAAAACATTGATTTGGTCAGCAAACTGCTGACCCGGGTGGTTGAACTGTTCAAACCGTTTAACGGTTTTGACCTTTTTTATTTTTTTGTCGGAATGGGCCGACCGCTTGGTCCGTTCAACCCAGGAACCGGACCCCTGACTGGTTCGTTGTCCGGGTCGATTTTAAAAACCTTGGTTCTAAGTCGTACTATCCTCATATACTGATGAGTCAGCATCATGGCTTAAAGTATTGATACACCCAAATGTATCGACAGGATGCAGATTCTACAATGGCTGAGGTTCTAGCAATGCTAAATGGCCTCCGTATCACAAGAAGTCTAGGCTTGATCAACTTGGTGGTCAAAGGCGACTCTAGCAACATGATAAAGTGGCCTGGGGAGAAGGTGGACCTTGGAGACTGGCTCACTACCTGGATGAGGCTAGAGATTTGTTATACTCCTTGAATGCAACCTTAATCTGGATTCCCAGGGCTCTAAACTCTGTAGCAGATAGTTTAGCCAAGCCTGGCACCAGGGAAAACCTTTAGTGATAGTAATATGCCTTTGTACCCTATGTGAAGCTAGCCTTCTTTGTACATCATCTCATTTACTCTCTTTCTTTCTCTTTAATAAAGTTTCTCAAAAAATGTATCGACAGGGGTGTATTGGTGCTTTTTTTTATGAACGTGTATCGGTGCTTTGAACCATGCGCTTTTTGTTTTTTTAGGTGCCTGATACACCTGTTTACAGGTCTTTTTGGGAACCCTTTCTTTTTTAAATAATATATATATGTGTATATATATATAAGCAGTCTTAAAACTGAAATTTGAAAAAAAAAAAGGTGTGTGGTTCAAAGTGCCAATACACAGGTGTATCGATAATTTGAACCATGCTTGAAAGGCAAACCTGAAATTCTTCCGGGAGTGCTTCTGAGACTGCAAGAGTGTAGCAACCTGGAACAAATCTCCCTACAAAAGTTCAAATAAGAACTCAAGTTTAATAATCTAGATAATTGCAACAAGTTCAAATCCAATTCCTAAAGAATTAAAAGGCAATTCATAGCAATGCAAAAAAGTACTGAGCTTCAAATGCAAAATTGTCATCTGCCATCATCAAAAGATAAATATTAAAAAATATACCAACCATAATTCCCAGTTTATGCCAAATCAAAAGGACCTAAAAAGATCCTAGGAGATCATTTAAAGGCCATAAGGGTATAAATCAAATTACATTCAACTCAACTAAAAAAGATGTAGAACGGAAGCTTCTCATGATGTGATGAAACAACTGTTGAATCCTGAATCCTACCCTGGTGATCATACTCATAACTCACATGGTTGAGAAAGATGCCAGAAGATAGAGACATACTCACCAATAAAATTCTTTAAGGGCTTGAATAGGAAGGCAGTCAGAGACCCAAGGTTAGTGAACAACTAACAAGCTCATGGCATACTCACTGAACTGAAGTTTAATATGCAATAGGGATGAGTCTGACCATAGACTGAATGAAGGTTCTATAGATATTGGAAGGGGTTAGTTGTTTGTAGAAGCCTAGAAGGATACTCAGTTGTATGATGTGTACAGGACTACTAGTATTTTTAGAGCATGTGTCAGGTTTGAAGTTCCAATTTTTAATTGAATAAAGAAAAGAACTCCCCTTAAATGGGGGAGAAGATGATATGCAATAAGGAACAGGTTTCTCTCATGTAATGAGCCAGGACTCAGTGGCCCATATCAATCATGTTAACCCTACCTATCACAATACATGCATCACCTACACTGATATTGATTACTACCACAACTTGTCTCTCAAAACCAGTCTTGTCAATGTGGTAAAGCAATGGTTATTGATCACTCAATTGGACCTCTCTAGGTGATGACATGACTAGTTGGTGCCTAGCATTGACTAGTCGGCTGTAAAAAGATACATAATGAATTTATGATATTGATGCAATCTTGTATATAATAAACTTCAAAAATTCAAATATACAGCAAAAGAACGATAAGAAACGTATAGTCTACAATCTTCATTTTGCAATATATATATATATATATATACTGCGAAGAAAGATTTCATTAAATTAGAATGAAAGTACAAGAGGAAGAGGTAAGCAGTTAGCTCTCTTAACTCTCCCAAGAAAACAGTGAAAAAACAGAAAAATTACAAGTGAAACCAGAACAAAGCTGCCCTATTGACCCCTTGTTTAGCTAACCCATCAGCAAAGGTGTTGGCAGTTCTTTTAATCCATAAAAATTGAACTTCCATGCCCTGAGTCAGATATATGAATTTTTTCTTTTCATTATTGTAAGCGCACGGTCCATTCTGCTTCTCCTTCAACCATCCCACCACCAGTTTGGAAGCCCCTTCTATTATCAGTTTGTTAATGCTCAGCTCCTTGGCTCTTTGTACACCTTCTAAAGCTGCAAGAATCTCAGGCCTAAGGGAGCCGCTAACTCCAATTGGTTCTGAGAATAGAGCAATTAGATTCCCTTCCTCATTCCTTATCACTACCCCAATGCCCAAACCCCGAAGGACCTGGATTTCCAGCACTATTTTCATCAATGTTTAGCTTGAAAAAAGCCATTGGGAGGAGGGATCCAAGAAAGGAATGAAGACTCTTTAACTGGGTGAAGCAGAAACTGCTCTCCAACATTTTAACAGACCATCCATCGAGAAGTTTTGAAAGAGTTCCAAAGTTCCCAGCCATTGTGCCACTGTGGTAAAGATCACCTCTAAAATAGTTTCTTTACTTCTCTCCTTGTCTAAAAATAATCTTGAATTCCTTTCCTCCTAGATGGTCCAGATAATGGCAGCACTTCCACCCAAACAAAGAATAAAACCATTCCCTAGGTTTGGCAAAAGTTTTTGTGCCAGCTGCAAACCTGATACAACCCTCCCCCTTTATCCAGACTTGGGAGTTGGGACCGGTAGTGTAAGACAAGCTCACACTGGCGGATAAGGCACAATCATCTCCTAGGGCACTATGTGGGTGATCTCATATGCATCATTCCTTGATTTATCCATTACATTAGATTAAGCAGCGACATCTGATACACTAATACTCCTAACTGTCATGCCATATATTTTCTGAATTCAAAATTCCAAACATTTGTGTTACTTAAGTTACAAAATGTCTTCCAATGCACAACAAGATGTAGTCTATTACACAAGTACTATATGATAGAATTAATGGGTAATAGCCAGAACCTTTTTTGCAACAGCATCATTTCTAATTTATACATATGAAATGTATTTTGCTAGATTGATTTTAGTATAATCTCAGGGATTACTTAAAAGAAACATAAATAAAATGATCAAAAGTCACTGAATTGAATATTCTATAGTTAACCTAAACCAAGAAGAGATCAATTCTTGTGCAGGGTAATTAGGTTGTCTGTGGAGTGAGTGGCCTTTAAAATATCTAGGTCTCCCTCTAGGTGCAAACCCAAAAAGCTTAGGTTTCTAGGAACCAGTGATAGAGAGGTTTGAAAAGAAGCTGGCAGCATGAAAGAGAAATTATATCTCCTTGGGGGGAAGGATTACTCTTATCAGAGCCACCTTAGCAAATCTTCTAGTTTACTATCTCTCGGTGTTTAGTATGCCTCAAGCTATTGGGAAGAAATTAGAGAAGATAATGAGGGAATTTCTGTGGAAACCTGTGGAAACCTGATGAGAAGAAGAGAGATCATTTAGTTAGATGGGAAGTAGTGACTAGAAGGAAGGATTTGGGAGGGCTAGGCATCGGAAGACTTAAGGAGAGGAATGAAGCTCTCTTGGGCAAGTGGTTATGGAGATTCCCAAGTGAGACAGATAGGCTGTGGCACAAAGTGGTAACCAGAATTCATGGGTTCTTAGAGAATGGATGGGATGCTGGAGTTTCCAGTAGGGCTTCGAGCTTGTCACCTTGGAAGGCAATTCACAAAATTCTCCCCCCTCATTTCTTAGTCACATCAGATTTGATCTTAATTCAAGTAATAAAATCAAATTCTGGGAAGATATTTGGGTGGGGGATTCTCCTTTAAAAACCCTCTTTCCCTCCATTTTTTCTCTTTCATCCCTCAAGGGTAGACCTATTGCTGATTTTCTTGCACCCTCCCCACCCTTGTCTGGTCCGACTTGGAACCTGGGACTTCGCAGAAATGTTTGGAACTCAGAACTGGAGTCTTTGTCTTCTCTACTTCAGGTGCTTGATGGGGTGTGGCTTGACACTTCTAAACAAGACACTAGACTTCGGTCTCCCCATCCACCAGGTGCTTTCAGTTGTGCCTCTTTTTTCAAGTCTTTGTCTTCTCCTACCCAACCCGGGGAACCCTTCCCTTTACAAGAAGCTTGGTGTCGACCTATCCCTCACAAGGTGGGTGCTTTCTGTTGGGAAGTATATCATAGTGCAATTAACACTAGTGATCTGTTGCAGAGGAAAAGACCTGGCTGGTGTCTTTCACCAAATTGGTGCTATTTATGCAAGTCAAATGGTGAGAATGCTTTTCATATTCCTGCCCTCTTGCTAGCAGAAGAGGGAAAATATTGTGGAGATGCACAAGGGCAGCAATATTATGGGTAATATGGGAGGAAAGAAATCAGAGATTATTTGAAGACAAGGAAAGATGCAAGGCAGAAGTGATAGAAAGTGTTATGATGAAGGTGATCTCATGGGTGAAAACACTGAACTTATTTTCAAATTTTATAGTGGATGATATTATCAGAAATTGGAGGATAGTTGCTTCTTCTTCCTCGGCTAAAAGGAAGATCCTGAAGGAATGGGTGCCCCTGAACCAGGATTTGTCAAATTAAATTTTGATGGCAGCAGTTTCGGAAACCTAGGAAGATCTGGAACCAGAGAGGTTATAAGAAATGAAAGAGGAGATGTGTTGGGGATTTATTCGGGTCCTATTGGAATGGGTAATTCCATTACAGCTGAACTGAAGGCAATGGTATATGGGATACAAAAAGCTAAGGAGATGGGGGTGGAAAGAATGGTTGTGGAAGGGGACTCCAAAGTTATTATCAGTTGGCTAAAACAGCATGACAACATACCCTGGATATTCAGAAATGACATCAAGAAGATTAAAAGTTTATCCAAGGATATGCAACTATCAATTCAGTGGACCCATAGAACTGCAAATGGATTTGCAGATCAGCTAACCAAACAAGGGGTGAACAGGGATTACTGCTTCTGGGCCCAATTGTAAAAGTGAAAATAAATATGTTAGTGGATGCACTGTAGTGGGGTAGCAGAGGCTACCCATAAACTATATCCCCTGTAATTTCTCTACATTAATAAAATTTCATTTTACTGATAAAAAAATATATTCTATAGTTTTTTTCTTGGTACAATAGTGAAATATAGAATTGTACAAATGAAAATAAGAATAAAATAAGTGATACACCTAAAAACTTACCAATTCGCAGCCAACGAGCAGCCCAGCTTCTACTTGGATCCATGACTGAAATTATTCTATAAAAAGAATACAAAAAAGAGACTATCTTTAAACTGTAGATCTCAATTATCTCTAATTGGAATATTTCTGAATAATGCAGCTCTAATCTGTTTATGGGTATAACGTTAATCAAATTTTCTCCAGTTCAAGATAAACAAACATGACAATAAGAGATGACAAACAACAGAACCATGAAAGCTACCAAAAAGAAAATAAAGTTTTCATGTTATCCAATGGCATAGTGAAATCAACCTGAACTAAGGGAAGATAAATGCACCATTATTTTCTTTCCACAAAGTGAGTATCATTTGAGTTTCAAAGTGTAGCTAGATACCCCTTCTACATTTTTAATATTTAATTAACAACCATATCCATAGGCATTTAAACGAAGTTAAATTCTATTAAGAAAGCAGAAATGATGAAATAATCAGGTAATCAACAGGATAAAACATACCCAGTAAAATTAGGAGTTGTGCAATCCACCACACGTTCGTGATCTTTGTCCATGTTAAAGAAGGGGCAATTTTCGCAGCCTGATTCTCTAAACTATGTGCTCACCACCAAAAGAACACGTCAACATGCCAAAAATATGGAAAATGAGAAACAAACTTTAGGCAAATAAAGCAAACAAAGCTAAAAGATAGAGCATTTTTTTAGATACTATCTATCGATTCATACTGTCGATCAAAGAAAAAAGAAAAAGAAAATCGCTTCCAGGTCATTCACTGCAGAATACGAGTGAAAAAGTTAAAGGAATGAAAACAAACGAGTGGAAATAAGACTTTTCGATAATGCTCGGCAATTACTAGATTTAAGGAAGAACTTAAGCTCCGTGAACTAACCCAGACAAGGAGGAAGAATAAATGAACCCTAACCCTAGAAACAAGAAATATAAAGCATCAACAGTAAGAGAGTAAGAGAAGAAAATAAACCTTGGATAAGACGACTACCTGATCATAAGTTTTAACGAGTCTGCAACGAAGGCAAGCCCTGAGCTCGTGGCCGAAGCTAGTCGGAATCTGCGCAACGCTTCCCATTTTCAGAGGATAGATACCTTTGAAACCTCGAAATAGGGATGGCAACGGCGCAGGTTTAGTAAATTCAGACCCTAACCGCCTCCCTAACCCTCCGAAGTCCCAACCAACCCGTACCCGCCCCAAAACGCAAAAAATTCTACCCGTACATGAAAACGCAAAACCCTCCCTCATCCAACCTCTCCACATTCGAAGGGTTAAGGCGGATTTAAAACTCGAATCTAATTTTTTATTACTTTTTATTATATATAAATAAATAAATAAATTCTTTAATTATTTGATTTAGATATATAAAAAATGCATAAATTATCAATCATCTTTTCCGTAAAATTCAAAATATTATTAATTCAACACTTAATACATAAACTTTATATGCTTTCCAATAATATATGAGTTGGAGGTCGGGTTTAGCCTAATATTGTATCCAATTGTAGAATCCTAAAACTTGTCCCCATCCTTCAAACAAAAAAAAACCGCCCCATCGCATAGAGTAGGGGCAAATACCCACCGGGTATATGATAGAAATTGCTATCCCTATGTTGAAAGGACCTCCCTAAAAAAAGTAAAATATAAAAACTTCCCTTGAGATTTTTGACAATCATAAAAACTTTCCCTATGATTTCATTTTCATAAAAACCTCCCTTTTATTATTGGAAAAACCTGAAGTTATCTCATATTTTTTATTGTCATGGACATAAAATGTCGGTCTAATGCTTTTTTTTTTATTTTAAACAAAAACAAACTTCATTCATCCATCAAAAAGTTCATACATGATGGTCCAGGTTCTGTAGTTTGGATATTACATATACAGGCAGTATAATCTAATTCATGAGCAGCTTTATTATAAGTTCTATTTATATATTAAAATTTAAAAAAAAAAGGAAAATGATGGTTCAGCCCAAGGTCAGAATTCATAGGTCTAAAGTATAGTCGAGGTAAGTGCCAGTTTGGAATTGATGTCAATTCACGGACAGGTATTAGTGCATAGAGTGAGAATAATTGACCTTTTGAAATGTTGTATATATCTGCAGTGTAAATCAAAATTCTGCAATGAACCTATCCGTACTACCCAAAAAAAAAAAAAAGAAAAAGAAATAACTTCAAAATATCCTCCTTTCGGTGCAGTATTTGTATTTGCTAATCCGCTCCTTCAATGATGCTCTCACGATCTCTTGATGATCAGTCAAAATAGTCAGATTTATAATTTTATATTTCAAAATAATTGCTTTCCTAAGGCCATATATTGCTGCCCACACCATTCTGCTTGTGTACTTGATGAATCCTTCTTCAATTATTGGATTAAATGACCCATCCACATAGATGTAAACCTCCGTTTCTCTTTGTTGTGAGAAAGCCTCTTTGTCCATCTTGCTTGTGCCCTGTATAATCTATGTAGTCATCAGATTTTGCCACCACTTCACTATGATCTAGAATATTATATTTGTGATTTTTTTCATTTTGCATTCTCATATCAATTAGGGGTGTAAATAGGTCGAATTTAATTTGAATCAGGTAAAATTTGAATTCGAATCCGATTACAAAATTTGACATCCGATGGATATTGAAAATTAATATTCGAATTCGATTAAATATTTGAATATTCAATTCGACTCGAAATCAATTAATTAATTATTTTAGGTGATTAATAAATATTTTATTTATATAAAGTATATAAATATATACATTATTTATATAACTTAATTATTATATAAAATATTTAAACATTTTATATATTATATATAAGAATTAAATAATCAATCGAATTCGGATATTTATCAAATTGAATCAGGTCATATCCGAATTCGAATCCAATTAGCTATTTGGTATTAATAGGATATCCAAATTTGACCGATTAGATATTCGAATTATCTGAATTCAATTCGATTATGTCGAATCTTGAATTTGAAACGAGATTATTGAATACCCTTGACACACATAATATCAATCTGAATAATATAAAAAAAAAATTGCAATGTGATTTTGTTTGATATCTAGAGGCTGCGATTTTGTTTTGGTGTTTACCATTTCAAGAAAAAATTATATAGGCTCCTACTTCAAGCTCAACTAGATTTTATTTTGGCCTAAGGCGTTAGATTTTCAAAAATACCATTTATTCTTACACCTATCAATTTACATGAAAAAAATACTAAATACTCGCAAAAGAAACTTGCAATTTTAAGTAAAAAAGATCTCCAAGTTATATTGAAAATAATAAAATTATTTACTCTATAAAAACGTTAGGTCTACTGAAGTTTAGAAGGGGAAATTTGGCCTTTTAAATTATATTGAAAGATTCCCTAATAAGTTGTAAGGGTAATCTCATAGATTTGAAATCTTCCTTGTTGGAATAAAGATGGAAGGGAGATAACTACAAGTTTTTGGTAAACTATATGGGTGGTTTTTATAAAAGTGAAACTTCAAATGAGGATTTTATGATTATTAGAAATTTTAGGGGAGGTTTTTATATTTTATCCAAAAAATTAGAGGGATATTGCAATTTTCAATAGAAGGGAAGCTCTTCACTTTAGATAAATTTGGAGGGAGATATGGATAGGCTTGGCTCAACCTCAACCCAAAACCAACCCAACCTAACCTATTTACAACCGACATTTGCTACAATAGTGTCATAGCCCTATGCTCAAACAACTAAATTGGAGACCTTGATTTGTTGCCATGGCCCCACCTTGAATTAAATGAAGTGATTTCCTGGTGGGGCCACTGCAGTACTGTCGATACAAATTTCGTGTATTTCAATTAGCACAAAATATAAAGACAAATTACAAAAATAATTTGTAACAAAAAAGTATAAGGGAGTTGAACTCTCATTGATTTCTGCTCGATAATATGAGCAACCTCTAATTAATGGTCAAATTTGGTGAAGACGAGGGCCTTTGGTGTGTTTCTCGTACTTCTTGAAGTGTTGATGTAAATTTCCTTATTTCTGGTGCTTTGGGAGATTTGATGTAGATTTCTTCACTCTGGGCTTTGCACTTGATCGATTATGAATGATGGTTCTTTAAGAAGGGCCATTTTGTAGTGGCTTGATTTTCTTGGGAGAGCTTGAATTCAAGTGTGTTGTTGAGAATGAAGAAACTTTTCCCTTCTTTCTTCTCTCTTGATCATGCAATTGCTGGAGTTTGCAGTAGCTTGTGGTTATTTGCAATCTTCAGTATTGGTGTTTAAGAGCTTCTTGTAGTGTAATTGTTGAAAAAGATGAAAAATGACCCTTTCTCTTCCTAGGCAAGGCTATTTTTAGCCAAGGATCAAGCCACCTCAGCCCACTTTACTGACCAATCTAATATGAATGGGGTGTTGGGTTAGAAATAACTCTGATACATGCACCATTGTATGGGAGTTAGTGGTCTTGCCAATGGGACCACCCTATTACAATAGGATGTTGACCATATTGGACTTAGTACAATTGAATCCTTCCACTAAGTCATATTTATGTACACTAGGGCCTTGGGCCCATGGAGGTCCATCTTACTTCAAACGATGGATTCATTTGCAAATGTTGGTTGGCATGGATTGTTTTTCTTAGCAGTTCTTTGAATGATCTTCTTTCTTCTTTGTCTCTTTGAATGGATATCATTTAAATGCTTTTTGTCCATTTATGTCTCTAAATATTAAGCAATATTGGTGATATTGTTGTAAACACCCATCTAGTTTTACTATTTTATAAATAAATTAATGATTTCAAAGTTATTGATACTTTTTTGGGGGTGGGTTACTCCATCGGACATTGATTTTTTATTGTTAAATATTAAATTTCAAATTAAATGATATTGTAGTTGCCCCTTAGTTTAGGGTCATTATCTAGATAAAACATGGTAAAACTCTTAAATCAAATAAAGAGCCTACCCTAAATGTCTATTATAAATAATTAACAAAATGAAAAAATTTCAAATTAAACCAAATAATACTTGCTGGAAATTATTGAATTAAGTAAATAATAATAACAATCAATTATTTATAGAAATAAATAATAATAATAATAATAATCATTAAGTAAATAATAAAAAAGAAATAACAACCATTAATTATCGTTAATGTTTATTCAAAGCATGCCCCATAATAATTACCGAATACAACAATTAAACCTTAAATAAGAATCAATATTTATTCATAGTCATTAAAATTGTTAAGCCAAATCATTAATGTTTATCCTTAAATGAAAATTATGAAGTAACAAATCTATTATATAATAATTATACTTGGCTGGAAAAATTTATTTAAATAATTATAGATTTAATTAATATTATTACTATATAACAAAAAATTTAAATTAAATACTTTACCTTCTGATGAAATACGGTTTTGTATATGTTATGTTTTATCATTCTAATGAAATACTTTACCTTCTATCACAAAAAAAAAAAATGCAATTATTGATTAAAAAAAGTAGAAGAATATGATGTTTGTGCATATTTTTCCATGGACATGTGATTTGTGTCCAATAATCATTTTTCTGACACAATTTCTAGGGCTCATCAGTCACGGCTGTATAGATTGATCATCTCTGCACATCGATGCCAAATTATCACTTGTTCCCCAAAAGATTTGCTCCCTATTTATCCCTTTTCTAGGAAGACAATCAGCTAAACGCCTACACCATTTGCCAATCTCAGATTCCAAGTTAATCTTCTATTTAAAATTCTTGAAAACTGCCTGATTTCCTTCATATTTTATCTAAACCACCATGAGCCAGGTTTGTTATTTCATCCACGTTCTTATAGTCCTGGATCACCTTCTACTTGGAGATTTGTGATGCAGAGTGACCTGCAGTATCTTATTCCATAAAATATTGCAATCAAGCCTTCCAGTTGATGCCAACATTATTCGCCATTAATCTGTTATTAGCAGCTGCAAGTTCTATATTAATTATCAGTTTAGGGGCCATCTGGAAACAACTAGTGTGGCTGAACTGAATTACTTATTGCTTTGTGTTTTAGTTGATAAAGAAATTGAATAAGTATTGGAGGACATACTATTCAATGCAGTTTTAGCTTCAGCTGTTAAGGAGTTTGTAGCCTCCTTAATAACTTATTCACTACAAGACAAAACAATAAGCAATTCAGCTCCAGCTGTTAAGGAGTTTATAGCCTCCTTAATAACTCAAACCATTAGCTATACTGAAAC